CTTACATGTGAAACAAGCTTGTTCCCTAACGAACTAATAAAAAAAAATTTAAAAAAAGAACATCGGGAAAGAAGTGGGTAGTGGAACATGGATAATGTGACTGTAGAGAAGAGGAATACCAGGGGTGGAAGAAGGGCAAAGAGGATTGGGGAAGAGGTGACCAAAACTAAGTATTTATGAAAAATACATGTGGAAATATATCATTCTGTAAGCTGTTCTTTTAAATAGCATGAAAAAAATTATGGAAGTACCTTGTATGGATGGATAATGCTGCTGCCAGAAGCCATAGGTTATTAAACAAAAATTCTAATGCCAGGTGTGAAGCATCTCCTTATTAGTTGTTGGTCAGGGATGCCCCCAGAGGCCTCCCAATACAATACAAGCCCTTGCCATTCATCTTGGTTGCCAACCAGAAATAGATGGTAAGAACATATTGCTGAAGGTATTATACACTTTGATTATAGGACATAGAGAAATCAAACTGGAACAGGCCTAAAGACTTCCTTCTTGTTGGCTAGTGTTCATAGTGCTATGAACAAGGTGCTATGTAGATTGCTACAGGAGAAATGATGTAAAGAGTCTTACTCAGAAGTGAACCCCTGTGAGCTACAAAACCAACCTGCAGGTAAGATGTGCCCTGATGCAATAATGGCATGTCTGTTATGGGGTTAACCCAACACTTTTTTGATCAGAGGCCTGCTCCACAAGAAGGAATTCATGCTTGGTACTATAAGCCTAGTCAAACACTCTTGGCTCCATAGGTGATAAGCCCTCATATGGTAGGGGTCCCTGAGAACCCGGGGAAACAAAAAAACAAAGGAGCAGGCCAAGCAATGTCCTTGAATGAATGTCAGCTTCACGTCATCCCTCCCACACATCCTCTTTACTTACTAAACCTTCCTGAAGGCCTTGGGAAAGATAGACAGACAACCCTGTGGTTTAGTCCCTGTCAAGATGTTTATGTGTATCATTGCTACATACCCTGAGAAACCCTCCATTGATCAACATATGGGGGAGGGGGCCTCCACCAAGGGTCTCTGGGGTTCTTGGTTCTTTTGAACAGATATTTGGCTGAGTCTGCTAGCATAATTCAAAGCTATTTTCCTGAGGAAACCCCAGTGAACCATCTCTTTGTTCATAAAATCCCACAACACTAAGGAGGAACATACTATTATTTTGCTAAATTAACATGTTATTAAACTGCCTTCTAAGTATTTGTTTAGAGCAGTAGATTGATGCTGCTCTCAGCCTTTGTCAGAGGAGCTTTCTTTTTTTTAAGATTTTATTTATTATGCATACAACATTCTGCTTCCATGTATATCTGCACACCAGAAGAGGGCACCAAATCTCATTACAGATGGTTGTGAGCCACCATGTGGTTGCTGGGAATTGAGTTTTCAAATAGCGAAAGACTGAATGGGTTCAAATTCAGGCTGAAGAGGGTTGTGACTTACAGGGGAAGTGCTTCACCACATGTTGTTTCTCAGGTAAGCGCCTCTTTGTTGATGAACTATCACTTTAGGAATGCAACTTAGAAATTAAATCAGTGTCTCAAGATGTGTATATTGAACTACTTAGGGACTGACTGTTCACCTTACTGCTATTTACATAGTTTTCATTGGTGGGGATGAACCCCAAAGCTTCATGCATACCAGGCAAGTGCACTACCACTGAGCCACATTCCCAGATCCATTATGGTTCCATTATTTTTGCATCAGTTACCCTCTCTTTGTTTTCATCAGTAGAAATGACGTTGTGATAACCACTTCCTTGGTTTTCTGAAACAGAAATTTCATGTATCCTAAGCTAGCCTTGAACTCATGTGGCCAATGATGATCTTGAGTTTGTGTCTCCACTTCCACAGTTCTGAGATCATAGACATATGCTACTATGCTCAGTTTATATGATATTGGTGATTTACCCCCAGGGCTTCTGCATGCGAGGCTACATTTCCAGCCCATACTAACTACTTTTAGAGAAGGTTTACTTTAGAAGGAACATGATCTGTGAAGGTTGAATGAGACATGCCCCCATCGCTTTGGGGATCTGAATATTTGGTCCTCAGTGTGTTTAGTGAGGCTTAGGAGGTGTAACTTTGCCGGAAGAAGTATGCCACTGGCAGCGGCGGCGGGGGGGGGGGGGGGTTTTGGTAAAAAAAAAAAAGGGCTTTTTTCTCCCTGATGAGGACACTGGGAAAGAGAGAAGCAGGAAAGAGAAGAGAGCAGAAAGAGAGGAGCAGGAAAAAAAGTGTAAGTGGGCAGAGGGCTTTCTTTTAAAGCGGTCCTTTGCACCTAGGCTGACAAGGGTACTGCTTGAGTGCATTCTGCCAGGTGACAGGGGCAGGCCCCATAATGCGTGAATCCTTACAGTCACCTGAAAGGAAAAATTTAATAATGTAAGACCCCCAGAAGCTCAGGCCTCCAGGATCTTTTCCCAGGACCTCGGCCACCCCACCATGCGGAGGCGGAAACTTGATGCAAACAGCAAGAGGCTTTAATGAAAGGTGGACGTTTGTACAACCAGGCTCTCTCTCAGCATGCTTGCTAGAGAGCAGCCCCATCCCTCAGGCACAGGCGTTTTTAAAGGCAAAAACCATAAGCTTAGGGAGGGGCCTTGACTCTCTGTCTGTTGAGTACATGACCAGAGTCATGGGTTCCTAAGAGGCCCTTTGTCTTGAGGGGAGGGCTGGGAATCAGATGGCCTCCTGACTCACCTGTTGTAAAACCTGCAGACCTCAGGATGTGCTAACTTAATCTTGCCTGAGCAAATGGTGGCTGTCTCTGTTTCACAGGGACCCTTAATTGTTAATTATTGACACATTGGCCGGTGGGGCAATCTCTGTTTCCTTCATGAGCCCCTCGGGGAAGGTGGCCATCTGGGAATTCTTGGTACCCAGTTATCTTATGGCCTTGTAAGGGAGTAATTGCTGGAGGCTGGTAAATTCCAGGCACTAAGTCATAGTAGTAGCCTTGGTCAGTTTCTGGGCTATATTTCTTTGCTAATTTTTAAGTCTTTCAAATAAAAGTCTAAAACCTGGACTCCAAAGCCCAGATAGAAAAACTCTTAAGCGTCTCTGAGTTCCCAAAAGGAAGCTCAACAGACAAGGTTAAACGAAGGTCCACATGACTCAAGGCCTTAGACCAGATATCACACCCTTGAGCTGTGTGGACATTCCTCTAGTCCAAAGAGGATCAGATAGTTATTAATTGGAGAAGTCTCCAGCCCAGGAGATAATTAACAAACTCATTTCCTCTGCACCATCCTGCTTAATTGCACCTTGCCTGAAGCATATAATCATTGTCCCATCCTGTGTAACTATGGAAGTTTTGTAATCTTGGGGCTTCCAGCCCTACAATTTTGCCTTATAAAAACACCCGTCAGTCAAAAGTGGGTACACCATTTGTACCCAAACAATGGGGTACTTGCTGCTGCTCGTATCAAGTCAATAAAGAAACCTTTGTCCTTGCATACGGTGAGTCAGCTCCTTGTTGGCAGGTTCTTTTGGGGTTCCACAATCTGGGCACAACCACCACCCCTGCTGCCATTTCTCTCCTCCACCATCAAGGACTCTTAGCCCTCTGAAACACTCAACCAAAAAAAAAAAAAAAAGTTCACTTTGTTGCTTACCTTTAGTCATGGCGTTTTCTCAGGGAATCAGAAAAGTAACTAATCAGTGGTCTAATCCCTGATTCTTTTTTCAGGTCTATGTTCTTTTTAGATATATTTATTCTTAAAAAAAAAAAAAGCAAATGTCGGGCTGGAGAGATGGCTCAGAGGTTAAGAGCACTGACTGCTCAATTCCCAGCAACCACATGGCGGCTCACAACCATCCATTATGAGATCTAGTGCCCTCTTCTGCTGTGCAGATATACATGGAAGCAGAATGTTGTATACACAATAAGTAAATAGCAAATGTAAGGTCAGTGAGATGGCTCAGTGGGTAAAGGCCCTTGTTGTCAAGCTGGAGATGGATTCCCCACAGTGGAAGGAGGATTCTAGCCAGTTGTCCTCTTACCTCTCCAGTGCACCCTGGCGCCCAGATATCTAGAGGCGC